TGTGCTTGGTTTTCAAAGTTGGTCCAAATTTGGGTCAATAATTAAACTTTGTTTGATTTCTTCAAAAATTAAATCATTGGGAATTGGTTATATATCTAGAACAGATTCTGTTAACATTTTGGATATAGTTTCTAAAACAGTTTGTAAAAACCGTTCTCATGGGCGTAGAATAAATCGCAATCAAAGAAAATTTCGTAATAACAATACAAATATTTCGGACCTAATTTCTATTTCAAAAAACAACGGTAGACATAATCTGTTAACTAAGCTCTGTTCCTTTCCTGTTAATAAATTACATCAAATTTTGGATGAATGCAACACAATTCCATATTGCAGTCCTAAGTATGAAATTGTCCAAATTATAATTGCATATTGTTATTCTAAATTGTTTCCCAAAATTGATCGCCCTGAAGATCACAAAAACATTTTATTATAAAATTAAATATGTCAATAAAGGTTTTGATTTTGTAAATACTGCCGGTATTTTTAATGATCATTCTGTTAAAGAACAAATGACTGGCTATTTTGATAATACTGAACTCCCTCTTATTTGTTATGTTTACAAAAAATCTACCCGGAAATATGTGTTAAATTACAGCCAAGTGTGTAAAGATGTTAATATCAGTGACAATACACCCACCTCCTGAAATTGCAGTAATTCCGAATACATTTATGGCCCCAGTTCCCATGTTATAACAGGAGACCTTAACATTGTTCGTGACCGAGAGTTGAAATCATTCCTCAGTAAAGGGCCTAAATATCGTCCCCCGTCAATTATTAATTGGAATGAGTGTCGTAACATCATCCACGACTCACTCAGTACTTACTGCTCTAAATGGATAAAACGAGAAAAAGCTGACAAGAAATCATTAGATTCTTTTTTTAATTCGGTAATGAACATAGTTGATATACGTATTCAACATTTTAAAGATCATTTTACTCCTAACAACAACCACAATAGCCAAATTTCTCGTATCAAACATAAGCTAAAAGAACTCGCCAATGAATATGTTTTTGTCCCGGCTGATAAGACTGCTAACAATATCATTATTGTTTGACGTAAATTTTACATTGAAGTTCTATAAAAGGAAATCACGAATTCACCAACATTTCAACTGACTCCATTTTCGGAAAATGACATCTGTAACAAACATAAACTTTTAGCTACCTCTTTACAAGCAGAACCAAATACAATGAAAGTTCCAACTATGTACTGGCTTCCGAAGCTGCACAAAACTCCTTACAAATATAGATTTATTTCGTCTTCAAGCCATTGTTCCACTACTAAACTATCTATTATACTTACTAGTACACTTGGTACAATAAAATACCTGGTAATAAATTGTTCAAATAAGGCCTTTGAAAATAATGGAATTAATCACTTTTGGAGTGTTAAAAATTCGTTGGAAGTACTTGATAAATTGCATGCTTATATTGGTGATTTCAAATCTGTTCAAAGTTTTGATTTTTCTACCCTATATACCACTTTGCCTCATAATCTTATTAAGAAAAAATTCACACACCTGATTAAATGGGCATTTAAAAAGTCGGAATGCGAATATATATGTCCAAATTCTTTTAGGTCAATTTTTAGTAACAACAAACAAGAGAACTGTGTCTATTGGACCTGCTTTGATACTATAACTGCCCTTGAATTTTTACTAGATAACATTTTTGTTCGCTATAGAGATTCCGTATATCGTCAGGTTATCGGAATTTCCATGGGGACTAATTGTGCACCACTTATTGCGGACCTGTTTCTGTATTGCTATGAGTTACAATTTATGACTAAAATCAGCAAAGACCCATCGAAACAACATCTGAATCAAAAATTTAATAACACTTTTAGATATTTAGATGATATATTGGCTCTCAATAATAACGACTTCAGTATGTACACTAAAGAGATTTATCCTGCCGAACTGACTTTAAATAAAGCTAATACTAACAATGAACACTGCCCTTTCCTGGATCTTGATATCTATATCTTTAACGGGAAGCTTAATACCAAAATTTATGATAAAAGAGATGATTTTTCATTTCCTATTGTTAATTATCCATTTTTAGATGGTGACGTTCCTTTGCCACCATCTTATGGTGTTTATATGTCTCAACTTGTTCGATTCGCTCGTGTATTTAACAACGTATTTGACTTCAACGAAAGAAATCTCTGTATTATAATATTTTCTCGCGGTTCGAAGTAAAGCGGGAAAATATTGTATTGACGTTATGGGTAATATGCGTATGGTCCAATCAGAGGGGTTGATTTAGATCCGGGTATGTAGGTATGTTTGATTTGTTTGTCACTTTCTAGCCGCCGTTCGTACGTGCATGACTTAAACTTAAGTCATATATATATATATTTATATATGTATTCATTTCAAGAAGTTTTGTTTTTTGTCATCTCTCTCGTTATAGAAGGTGAGGTCCGACTACCTTTTTCCTGAGATAGGCTTGTGCATTGTCGTCGGATACAGGTTTCCACTTAACAAAATATGGTTTTTCCTGGACGGCCTCGACTATCCGTGAGGGAAATATTTTGGAAAGATTTAAGGATTTAAGAGAGAATGTTCATTTATAATGTATAGAATTGAATTACAACATGTTTGTTATTTGTTGTTTAATAGAAACAATATTGTATTTGTTATTATAAAATTACATCCGGCGTCCATCAAATACGGCGGGCTGTCGGCAAATTGATATTTGCGTTTGTGTTGTTTTCTTTATAGGCATATGTAGTATAGATAATACCTGAAAAATTATTAAACCAGGGTTTTCGATATCACAAACTAGTCAAAACATTTACTAAATGTTATCATCGGTACAAGGACATCATTCGTAAATATAAATCAACATGCAGACATCTTATACGTTCGGGTATTTCACATCCAATATTTTATGGTAATATTCTTTACAAAGCACAAAAATGTCGGCATTCACCTCAAAAGCTATCCAAACCTTTAAACAGACTTATTCGGAAAGGATATAGTTACGATACTGTTGTCAAGTCATCAGGGATTGCATATTTTGGTATTAATATTGATTCACTCATAGGGTCTTTGCATCGGAAATAAACACATTTATTCTAAAACCAGTTATTGGCATGATACGGGTTATGTTCTCCTCATATATTTTATGATGGTTTGATACTAAAACCCTTACGGGAGGGATTGTACTTGATTTTCATATGATGAAGATCGACATAATCTTTCAATCAGTTTAATTGAGGTCTGGAGCTGGCATGTCAGTAACTACTACTAGTCCTTTATTCATTTATGTATCATTTTCATTTTGCTTAGTTTCTTTTGTTACCTATTCTGACATCGGACTCGGACTTCTTTTGAACTGAGTTTTACTGTGCGTATTGCTTTGTGTTTCTTTATTCTACATTTGCTAGAGGTATAGGGGGAGGGTTGAGATCTCACAAAACATGTTTAACCCCGCCGCATTTTTGCGCCTGTCCCAAGTCAGGAGCCTCTGGCCTTTGTTAATCTTGTATGTTTTTTTTAATTTTAGTTCATTTATATGTTTTGGAGTTTAGTGTGACGTCCATTTTCACTGAACTAGTACTCAATTTTATTTAGGGGCCAGCTGAGGACCACCCCCGGGTGCGGGATCATAGTTTCTCGCTGCGTTAAAGACCCATTGGTGGCCTTCGGCTGTTGTCTGCTCTTTGGTCGGGTTGTTGTCTCTTTGACATATTCCCCATTTCCATTCTCAATTTTATTTTTATGTATATTAATATATATCTGTCATCCCTTCCCCCTCAGTCAGAATTTAATGGTCAGATAATAGCATTTTAGGATAAATAAAAACCGCGTATAACCTGGATTTTCCAGTAATGATGTAGCCTGTTATAGCCGACTATACGGTATAGGTTTTTCTCATTGTCGAAGGCCGTACGGTTGCCTATAATTGCTTACATCCAAGTTTATTTGAACATTGGCAATCATACCACATCTCCTAGTTTTTATATAGTTTCCGGGGATCCATTCTCGACCGAAGCTTCAGAAAACAAAATAAAACCGAATTCCTGTTTATATTCCATATAAAAACAAAAATTTTGTTTATCTATTTGTTTTCTTTTATATGTATGTGCTGTACATAATTGATTTACATGACTACGGGTAAATACTCCACATGGAGGTGCTACTTCGAGATCATTCATGAAATTTCGCGAAATATTGTTTTATTATAACTTGTGAATTTATACATTTTTTTCAAGCCGTCTAATTGCATCAAGTTGTATAAGAAAATCTAAGAATAGAAATAAAAGCACCTCTGAATTGTTTTTGTTTTAATATTTCATTTTTTTTAGAACCAATTAAGTGATCCCGAAAGAATTTTCGGCAACATCGTCTATCAAATCGTAAACCAAGGACGTACGTTTGTTATACGTCCTTGCGTAAACTGGTAAACGTGCCGTGTGACATAATATATTTGTATAATAGTCCTAGCGTAAACCAAGGAAAAATTCTGACGGACTAATTCATTTTTACGAATCAAATTATAAGATGTCTCAAAGAAGTTGACAAAAATTCATAGAGGACACTATTCTCATATTTTCTATAAAACTTTGTCCGGCGAACAATATTTCATGGGGGGGGACATTATTTTATGTTACACAAATCCTCATATATGGTCCGGAAAATATGTATATTCATCTAACGTTATGGATATCAATGGGCAAACTCTCGGCAAATTACGCATCCCTAAGGCTATAGTGTTAGATCTGCCGAGGTGTGCCGAATGTATGATGCAATTTCCGAAGCAAGGTTGTCGGCTATCCGAACTTTCCCGAAGTCCTGCGGTTATCGAAGTTGTGGTTTATGCTGATGAGCTCAGAAACATATATACAATCTCTGATGACCATTAATTGCTTAAAGTATTAAAGAATACTATTGAATTGAAAAAAAGTTTTTTTTTCTTGATGATTACACTGCCTTCTGCGGACCACTTTCATTTGATTGTTACATTATTGCTCCCTTACCAAACAATCGCAAAGGCGCATGTGCAAAACTCCATTTATGTTATGACTATATATTGTAAAATAATATGCAGTATGATTTTACAGTTTCATCGTTCGCTCCTTACGATTTTGTTATGTCTAATACTGGTGACAGCAATATGTCAAGGAAATCGTATAAAGAGAGGTAATATCCAAATTCACACCTTTACTTTTTGCAGCAATTTGACGAAAAAAATATCAATTTTGTGTCTATAAAAATTATGTGCACTCATGTACTAAGTCATGAAGTAGGTACTCTCAGTAGATACTACGCAATGCAGAAACTGTTTGTGGTTTTCTTTGCAATGCAGGGGCGTAGCTAGGTATCCAATGAAATGTAAGCACTAATTGTGGCAGAGCCCTGGTAGGGAGTTAGTTCTTGGTGGCGAAGCCCCCTATTGGCCCTAACGGCAACGGAAAAAGGTTTTTGGCATTTTAGATGAAAAATTTTGCGTATTTGAAACATAAAATTAACTGGTAATTTTATCATGATAATGTACATGAGAAAAAGTTCTAAGAATTATAAACAACTCCACTCTGGAATTCAAACATCTACTAAATACCTAGGCTGTACCATTGCAAATGATCTAGATTGGGGAGAACACATAAAAAACATCACAGGAAAAGCCAGCTGAAGCCTTGGTTTCTTACAATGAAACCTCCACATCAGCTCAAAATCCATCAAAGAGCATGCCTATAAAAAATTAGTAAGACCGCAAATGGAATACACCATGACAGTATAGGATCCGTACCAGCAAAACCACATAGAAAAAATTGAAAAAGTACAAAGACGAGCTGCAGGATATGTAACCAGCAGACATAGAAATAGATAAGTGTCAGCAATATGATTACGGAATTAGGATGGAAAAGCCTACAAACATGAAGAAAAGAAGCTCGACTCATCATCTGCTACAAAATAACGAATGACTTTGTAGCCATAGACAAGAGTAACTACCTACAAAAACCAACAAGAAGCTCTAGCTAGACAGGACATAATACTTACCTTTTACAGCCAGCCACCAAAGATTGGAGGAAATGGTCCTTCTTCGTAAACACCGTCAAGGATTGGAACAAACTGCCTCCAGATATCGCTACATCAAAGTTTCTTGAGATATATTCAAGTCTCAAGTGACCAAAACTTCTAACTAAATCGATGAACAATTTGTTTTAATCACTTGTAAAATCAGTGTCATAATCATCTGATCTAAATCAATAATTTAGGTTAATTTAAGTTAGAATCATCAGTAATATGCTTGAAATAATAAAAAAAAATTGCAACTCTAACCTCAATTTTCTGCAATAAAATTTATTCGTTTATTCCCTATATATATATACTATTGTTATTTAACAGTTTAAGGTATTTGTATTTGAATGCAGAAAATGTGTTTTTCTCAATAAAGAATGAACACCAATTTAAATAAAAATTAGTTATTTAGATTTTGTTGTTTTGAAAAAAAAATCCTTCTGTAAGTTATAATTAAGTCAAACTTCAATAAAAAAAATATACTACATTGTACACCCTCCTCTGAAGATTTCTCTTTTCATCCATCTCAAAATATTTAAATTGAAAAATTTGCTGGTTCACAGCACAGCTGATGCTTTGATTCATTTCTTACTTTTATGTATAGTTATTAAATATTTATTTTAGGACTAGGCAGTGACGATGAAGTGAGACTTGTTAATGACTTGTTTGGAGAAAAAAGTGGATATAATCCCTTGATCAGACCAGTTGAAAACGTGAATGATACCCTAACAGTTGCATTCAATGTTGCATTGAGCCAGTTGATCAATATTGTAAGTAATTCATTGCTCTGCAAAAGTTAAAAAAAATTGAAACACACATTTTACACTTTTAGAGTTATAACAATTAAGGGTTTTGATAACCATTCCACAAAATGTCTTTTAACACCTCAAATTGTATTCTGATTACAGACAAGCTGTACAACTGTAAGTTTTTAAGGTCTTACATACATAGGACCCTAGACTGACTAGAGAGGCAGCTACACCTGTTTCTCTGCAATAATTTAAAGGGAAACTTCGCAAAAAATGAAAAATTTATATTATGTTCATTGTGAATAAAAAAGCACAAATTCTTTAATATTAACATTTTATTCCCCAAGATAAGAGATCAGCATCGATTTTAAATTGAGATTATCAATTCTCTACATGTCGCCATCTTGACTGCTTCCCGATTAAAAAACCACGTCATATCTATAAACCACAAAGTACCAAAACAAGCAGGGACTAATGTAGTCGTAATTCAGTGTCAAAATCACTTGTCAGGCGTACGGTTGTTTTAACCCGACAAGGTAATGACAAAAGCAATCACAGTTTCCCAGATCCTAAAAAAAGAATTATACCAAACATGTTTGTATACGTGACCTATCAGCAAACTTTTTAAACTAACTTGATATGGTACAATGTTTAAAAAAAGGTTTAAGAGTCGGAAAAGTCGCCCGATTGGACATCTATTTTTTCTTAAATAACTTATAAAGTTTGGTCTGTCATTTTTTTAAACTGATATTTTTTCATAGTTTATGAAACAAGTAAATATAAAGGAGAATTACTTTTATGGATTCTCTCAAAGTTTAAAGTCATAATTAAATGATTAACGAGCGGGGTTCCGTGTAAAATTGTTTTTCAAAAATCTAATTTGGTCATAAGTCTTTTATGCAATACATTTATTCAAGTCTGTCCTTTTCTAATTTGATCATCAGCATGGCTAAAGGAATTATTGCCAGAGGTATTGTGAGGTGACACGTCCAGGTATTCAAGGGATTTCCTGTCGGGCTAAAAAACTCTTTATTACACAATTACATAATGCAGGTTCATTCATCGCTTTACTGCTGAGTGTATCAGTGTACACGGCCGGAAACTTGGATTTTTCCATTTAAAAACTATCAGATGTAATAAAATTATTTGTACTTTTTTGTCTTGAGCCCGACATTGATATAATACTAGTCATTGCTAAACTCATAGGTGTATACAATTTTACTACCACTTGTTTATGAATGACATTACTGGTGTAAAGAATCATATTTATCTAAATAATTTTAGCTAAAGATTTGAGGAAATAAAATCTATTTAGATACTTCCTATGGTAAAATTTGGAAAAAAAGTCATTACGGGGTGTGGGGGGGTGGGGTATATACTTGTCAATAATTATGGAAAATTTTAAATAGCCTGTACAAAAATGTATGCACTTGTCAATCATTGGTTTATACAGATAGAAAGTTTCGGAACTATAGATAGTGACAATTTAAAATATATGTTGAAAATAAGAGAGATAATAATCATATAAATTGCATAAATATAGCATATTTCTGTAATAATAGGAACTGGTATACGAAAAATTTCCTCTAATGTTTTAGGGGGGGGGGGGGGGAATGCACACATTTGGTATATAAATAAAAAAAATACACACATCTGGTAGGAAATAAAGTCTCACCAACTATAGCATTTCATATATAATTTGTTCTTGGTTGAAATGATGGAAGGAGTCATTCAAAAAAATGTGCATGTTCGCTATGGTTAGTAGTGGTTATTCGACTTCCTAGAAAATGTGGATAGCCGCAGTTGCATTGTACACACCATAAATATATTTCCAGTTTATTTCTGTCATTTTTATACGACCGCAAAAAAATTTTTGTGGTCGTATATTGGTATGGCGTCGGCGTCCGAAGACACATTGGTTTTCGCACTCTAACTTTAGTTTAAGTGAATGGATCTCTATGAAATTTTACCACAAGGTTCAATACCACAAAAGGAAGGTTTGGATTGATTTTGGGGGTTATAGTACCAACAGTAAAGGAATTAGGGGCCAAAAATAAGCATTTTTGTAACTTCCAGACATAACTTGTGTGTTAGTGTATGGATCTCTCTGACATTGTACCACAAGGTTCCATATTACAAAAGGAATGCTGGGATTGATTTTGGGGGTAATTGCCTCAAAATTTTAGGAATTAGGGGCCAAAAAAGGGGCATAAAACAAGCATTTTTCTAGTTTCATGACAATAACTTGTATGTAAGTGTATGGATCTTTCTGAAATTCTACTACAAGGTTCCATATCACAGAGGGAAAGCTGGAATTGAGTTTGGGGGTAATTGCCGAAACGTTTAGGAATTGGGGGCCAAAAAGGGGCCAAAAATAAGCATTTTTCTAGATTCCAGACAATAACTTGTGTTCAAGTGTATGGATCTCTCTGAAATTGTACTGCAAGGTACCATACCACAAAGGGAAGGCTGGGATTGATGATGGGGGTAATTGCCTCAATATTTTAGGAATTAGGGCCAAAAAGGGGCAAAAAACAAGCATTTTTCTAGTTTCAGGACAATAACTTGTGTTTAAGTGTATGGATCTTTCTGAAATTGTACAAGGTTCCATATCACAAAGGGAAAGCTGGGATTGAGTTTGGGTGTGATGAATCATAAGGGGGTTCAAAAAATTTGGGGGGGGGATTTTTTTTTTTTCCTTTTTTTTCTTTTTTTCCTTTTTTTTTTTCTTTTAAAATTTTCCATTTTAAGTTGGTTATTTCTGATTTATATTTAAAAGCAAATAATAATGATATGGTAGGAGATACACACCAAACAGGATGTGTAAATTATTATATTATAAGTATTGTGCAATAGCAAGAAATTTTCAATTGCACAGTATTGCACAATAGCAAGAAATCTTCAATTGCACAGTATTGCGCAATAGCAAGAAATCTTCAATTGCACAGTATTGCGCAATAGCAAGAAATATCCAATAGCACAATATTGCGCAATAGCAAGAAATTGTCAATTGTACAGTATTGCGCAATAGCCACAAATATTTAATTGCACTATTGTGCAAAAGAAGATACTTCGTATAAATTGCTTATTTCTTGACCAATTTCAATGGGGTTTTATTCTTGAATTCTTGGGGTTCTTTAATATGCTGAATCTAACCGTGTATTTAGTTTTTGGATTTTGGGCCCCGTTTTTAAATTGGTCCACATTGAGGTCCAAAGGGCCCAAAATTAAACTTTGTTTGATTTCATCAAAAATTGAATTATTGGGGTTCTTTGATATGCCGATCTAACCGTGTATTTAGATTCTTAATTTTTGGTTCCGTTTTCAAATTGGTCTACATTAAGGTCCAAAGGGTCCAAAATTAAACTTAGTTTGATTTTAACAAAAATTGAATTCTTAGGGTTCTTTGATATGCTGAATCTAAACATGTATTTAGATTTTTGATTATGGGCCCAGTTTTCAAGTTGGTCCAAATCGGGGTCCAAAATTAAACTTTGTTTGATTTCAACAAAAATTGAATATATGGGTTCTTTGATATGCTGAATCTAACCATGTATTCAGATTTTTGATTTTTGGGCCCCGTTATCAACTTTGTCCAATATGCTGTATCTAACCATGTATTTAGATATTGGATATTGGACCATAATAGGTGAATATCCAATTTAAAATTTTTAAGTTCTTAGACCACATTCATTCTGTGTCAGAAACCTATGCTGTGTCAAATATTTAATCACAATCCAAATGCAAAGCTGTATCAAGCTTGAATGTTGTGTCCATACTTGCCCCAACTGTTCAGGGTTCGACCTCTGCGGTCGTATCAAGCTGCGCCTTGCGGAGCATTTTATTATATATTGGTATCAAGTCGTCAGCGTCGTTTGAAGACATTTGGTTTCTGGACAATAACTTTAGTAAATGTAAATAGAAATCTATGAAATTTAAACACAAGGTTTATAACCACAAAAGAAAGGTTGGGATTGATTTTGGGGGTTATAGTCCTAAAAGTTTAGGAATTAGGGGCCAAAAAGGGGCCCAAATAAGCATTTTTCTAGTTTCCAGACAATAACTTGTGGAACGGTGTATAGATCTCTCTAAAATTATACCACAAGTTTCCATACCACAAAGGGATGGTTAGGATTGGCTTTGGGGGGTTATGGCTCAAACCCAGAGTTCTCTATAAGTGGTGGTCCTAGGGATTTGACCACCACATTTTGGGGAAGGACCAACACAATTTTGGTAATTTGCAATAGAAATGATAGTGAGGACCTGCATATTTTCTTCAAGGACCACCAGGCAAAAAAAAGATTTCAAGAACTTTGCAAACCGTTTAGGAATTAGGGGCAAAAAAGGGGGAAAAACAAGGGTTTCCTGGTTAATGGACAATTAAAAAATAATACAATGTTATGTTTGGATTACCTCCCTTACACTGCTTTTAAATTATGTATAAAGAAATGTTGTATTGTCTTGAGGTGATTAGCTGTCAATTTATTTTTAGAAGTTACTATTTAAAAATGCTGATTAAGGAATATTAATTTTAGCCATGACTATGTATGTCATTTTCTATTTTAAGACTTTTATGATGTATTTAAATGGGTAATTAGGGTTGCAAACTCCATTGGAAATTTGAATTGAGATCATGACCATATCTTGAGGAAAAGAATTTTTTTTTTTTTGGAAAAAGGGGGAGGGGGGTAATTTTTTGTTTTTTTTGGGGGGGTCCATTCACAACAGCATAGTGTAATGCACAAAAGCAAAAAATTGAATATAAATTCAAATCATATAACCAATTCTAAGTTCTTTGACTACAGTTATCAGGGACAAAACTTAAAGGGAGCCCAGTCGCCCATGGCTCCTAGATTTTGAGCTGGGCCCCTAAACTTTCAGGTAAATTTCAGTTGAACATATAGAAACTAATTATCAAATATCTGGTCTGGGCTCCCAGCTTGAAATTCCCAAGTTTAGTCCCTGATAAGTTATACAGTTATTCTGTGTCAGAAACCTATTATGTGTCAAATATTTAATTA